CTTTTATGGTGGCCATGTGGGCGACATTTCCAAATTGAAGCATCAGTGTCAAAAATGATGTCTGATGCAATTCCAGATCTTGACTTGCACCATAGTTATTTTAGGTGAGCAATTGACTTGCCTTTGCATGTGTGTGCGATGGATGCCACTGTTGAGGCGGGACACCTGGTATCATAACTATTTGATAGTGATTCATCGACATTTGCTCATGATGTAGTGAGAATCATACAATCGACTCTGCTTTTAACAGTGATTTCTTATGAATATGGAAAGAGTTTTGTCACTTTTATTTACCACATTGATTCAGAACATGTCTTAGCAAAAGTGAATGAGTGAGTTGGGTTTCACGCTGCGTTTAACAGTATTCCAGTTTATCGCGGTGTGTCAGCTTAATGTGGGAGGAAAGCCCGAAGTGATGCAGGTCTCAGACGTTTACCACTACGGTGAAACCCACAAGCACGGGTATGGTGCTGAAAAACTTAGAAACATAATCGGGGCAAACTGGGATTCGAACCCACAATCATAGGTTTAGCAAAAGAAAACGCTACAGAACACAAATGCATTCTCGACAGAACAACCTTTAGGGTGTACAGTCCATGGCCTTTAGAAATGACAGGGTGTATAAAATATCTACAACATTATTTACGGCTTTATGTTTCTGATTTTGGAACTAATAGGTTATATTCCTTTTTGAGATATTCGAATCAGATCTACTTGTTTGAATGCTTCGCTCATCTATAAAGACAATTTATTGCACTAGTATCAAACTGACGACTTCCATTCTAGCCTACCCTTTGAAACATATGGATTCAAAATTTGAAAACTCGTTCCCTCGTCATGCCAGGCTCGAATCCCCATATGGGTACAATGTGTGAAGACCATATGTAAGACCTGGTGGCGTGAGGAGGTCTTAATTGACATTTATAGATAGCGTTGATGAATCAGGGTCCTGCCAGGAAGGGGATATGCCGAAAGTTTGCTGTATACATTTAACCGAAAAAGGAGATAGAATTTCTGTGCACTTTGGAAACATATTGAAACGATTAGATATTTGGGATAAAAGAAGTTTTAAAGAAATCTTTTGAACCGGTTTGCACTATAACAATAGCCCTGAACGACGTGGAGCGTTTGTCCTCAAAAGCGTTATAAAAATAGTGACGATATTGAAAGTACAAGTATTCAGTAAAATGCATTTCTCCAATCACAAAGATTAGTTGTTGCCTCAGATTGGTCAGGATTAGGACATACTCACTTACATCATCACAAAATAGAAACAGGTGACAACAGACCTTTTAGCCTCCCTTTTCATAAGCAAAACGCAGCCATTAGGAAAGAGTTTTCCCCGGCAGGTGCAAGAAATGTTAGAAGCCAATATCATCAGCCCAATTCTCCTGAATGACACTTTCCTGTTGTCATGGTTGAAAAACGGGATGGCTCGCACCGCTTTGCCATAAATTATAGACGTCTCAATGCAGTTATCAAGCCTGTATTTCCCCCTCTACCATGTTTTGAAGATGACGTTGATGCCACATATAGGCGACAGCTATGCCAACATTTTTAGTGTCCTTTATTGTGCTTTTGCAAATGCCACTTCATCCAGATACAAAACACAAGTCGGCCTTCTTTACACCTGATGGTGTTTTTCAATGGAATCACCTCGTTTTCTGGTTCAAAAATGCCCATTTCAGCAAACCATTTCAGGCACAAAAAGAAATGAATCGGCTTTACATATTAAAATATGTAGATGACATCATAACATTTTCTAAAACGTTTTCAGAACATTTGAATCACCTCAAGGCAGTATTCCAAAAGATGAAAGAAGCAGGACTCACTCTAAAACCAAGCAAGTGTAAATTCATGACAAATCAATTCACCTACTTAAAGCATATCTTTAGCAATGACCGCATCCATGTCAATCCTTCAAAAACAGCTTAAGTCACACAGATCCCAGCCCCTAAAAATGTCTATGTCCAATGTCATTTCTTTAGTTTGGCCTCATATATCGCAAATTTGTTGGAAGCTTTTCTGGCATTGCCTCCCCTCTATACAACCTTCTGAAAAGAGACACATCTTTGGAGTGGTACAACAATTGCCAACAGGCAATCGAAAAGCAAAAACAAGCCCTTACAACAGCCCCCATCCTCTCATATCCCGATCAAAACAAACCCTTCTTCCCCACAACTGATGCATCTCAAACTGCAATAGGGTACATTTTAGGCCAACTTGATTTAACTTGTGATGATGTTGTTAATTCATGTCACAACAAAAAAATACAAGTATCTTCCTTGACATTGGTCATGTTCTGTTTTTTGGTTGGTAACGTTTCTTTTGTTCAGTAAGGTTATTATAATTTTTTCAAGCAGATGGAGGCGGAGTTTTTTACTTACACAAAATTATGAGCTCTGTTTTAAAAAACACACAACAACACCGCCCCCCCTAGAAATCAAATGGTCTGCCCCTAATCAGCATTAAACATAATGGAAGGGTGATCAATACAGTTTGGAGCCAACGAGAAGTCCTTCTGAGCCAAGGTCCTTATAACAGATGGTAAATACTGTTTATATTCATACTTCTTCTATTTTCCTGAGGACGTTTATAATTTGAATTGACGACATCCAAAGCCAAAGCCACTCAGAGTAAATGCCTCTTCAAAAGGCTTGTGTATACAATATCTTGAGTGTGTATATGTTTGGAGTTTGAGGCAACTTCTTGAACATGATGTGTCCTTGGGTTCTCCATTACATCTGTTTTTCTGTACCTCTGTGTAAGGTTGCGATCACACAATATAACATGGCTCAAACCTTGGGTAACTTCAGTTGAAATTATGAGAAATCAGGGTATTTTTCAAATACTGAAGACTGAAAATAATGACTTCCAACATCAAGCACATGTCCTAGTTGAGTGAAACGTCAAGGCCATTTCACAAGTCATTCACTCACGAATTCAGAAAAGATTGGCATGGACATTTGAAAAAGCGAATGATTGGCACAGTCTAAGTTTGAAACTAGAATTGACCTGGCATATGATTGGCAGGGATCAAAATGAAAGTCAAGTTCACCAAATCTTTAAATAGGACTTCGACCACTCATAGCAAACTTGATCACTAGTGTGTGATTGAGAGTTGGTTAGAATTTCTATGCGCTCAAGGACACGAGAGTTCTTCCAAGACAAAATCAGTAACTAACACTGGATTACGAGTTTTAAGACCTCATGTTGAATTATTGAGTATACATTGCAAAAGATAAAGATCAACTAGAAGGCCAGTCAACACAAACATGATTCAGGTCTGTGGGTATGCTGTAGAGACTTTTCATTTGTAAATATCAAACATCAACGCCAGATAACAACCAGTCTTGATGGAGGAAACAGATTCCATTGGGTGTAAAATGCAAATTAGTAGTGAATATAATATGAATGGATCTTTGGAAATCTGTGATGACACCATGTTTTCAGAAAATTGGTAATCATGTCCTGTCCTACAGGTATAGGAACGGCCACTATATGCTTGCAATTGGAAATTCTGGTTCCCTATGACTGAGATTGAAGGTCAAGATCATAAGACCGGAAGTGCATGCAAATGTCCTATACAAGACCCTAGATGCAAGGGAATGTCTGTTTTAAAATTGTAGTGCTTCTTGGTTTGTCTTTTCCGCAAGTGATGTTTTGTTGTTTCTTTAGGCATTGGATTATATTAAACCCTTCTGCCTCTTTTATTCACAAACCAGAAGAGACATCTCTTGTTCGAAAGAGCATAAAACCATTATAGCTGTGAAGTAGTACTGCATTAGTAAACATAATGGATTAAAGATGAACATAGACAAGTGCTGATGAGGCCAGCTGTCACCTGATTTAGTGAAGCCAATATGGTTCAGGATACTTGTTTCTCGGGTGATGTTTTGGGGAACTGCGGAAGAGGTGGGAATAGGACTGCTTCTGTTTTTCATGTAACGCAAACACCTTTCTATTTGTGTTGTCAATTGACATTTTATAAACTGACCTGTGCAGCCATACATGTTCATGAACTTGTGTATATGACTGCATACTAATGAGAACAATTGAGAATGTCACATAAAATAGACGTAATTATTGTTTTTTCCTTCCCGACTTTAAGAAATTGAATGTATCAAGGCGATTATTGCTTCTTTGCTCCGACTCAAATACCAAGTGTATTCCCTTACACAGATTAAAAAATGATTAGCTGGTATATATGTGCTATTTCAGTGCTTACAAATCAAGCGACAGGTCGACAGTTTGGTACAGTTGAAAACGTGACCAACTCATGAATGAATGAACTTATAGTACTACATTTCCATATTTAGCAGCCTCAGTCTTGCAGCCCAGCAGCTGTGTATACGTGCATGTCACGTAATGCACATTATCGATTTTCTTCCTGCGAATTATTGTTCGTGCTTGTTAGCAGGTGTCGAAAGAAAAGCTGATCGTCAGAAAAAAACTTGGTTTGTGTTCAGTATGTATTGTTGTATCTGTACACGTGACGTAATGTTTTTGAAGGTCGTGATTAAAATTAGTGCAGTTACAAGCAAACATTAACACTGAACACTTCCATACACTTTGACAGATAAACAAGTTCCGTGGACGCTTTCTATTTACATTTCAGTAAAGTTCAATAATAATTATAACATGTTTAAATACTATTAGATGGCAATTTTGATCTAATGAACCAATATTCTTAAAGGACATCCTACTTTCGGGTACTCGAGTACGAGTCGAGTTTCACCCCTCGGGAACTCGAGTCCAAAAATTTGGACTCGTGGAAGCCCTAATCATATCAAGAATTTGCGAAGTCGATCTACATGGATCTGTGTACATCTTTGATCTATCTAATCAATTAAGAAGATAAACAAATTATATTTTTATATTTTATTCATTTTGCAATTACAATTACTACATGTTAAACATGATCTGTAAAACACTAAAACCTGCTGTGTCAGACAACTCTTGCCAAAGTCTTCACTGCTGAATCGAAACCATCAGGCAGGGCAACCATCAAGGGAGATAACTCTGAATAGCCAAATATAAAAAAAATATCACTGAATCAGTTGATTAGTATGTTCAACTGAGATAATAATTCCAACAACAGAACTTATTCTGTATTTGAAAAGCACTGAAAGAAAAAACAAAAAAAACCATTCGCGTTGGTTCATGGACCGCCATGATAAGTAAACATGAATCCGCCCTGTCCAGTCACATTCTCGGGCACACAGAAACGAATACATCCGTTGTTCAAGTTAGCTCCCTTTTTACAAACATGGCGAGGCAAGGACCGTATGATGATTTTTGTTCGCTGTTGTTGACTCGGTCAATCTATTGAACTTCATGTTGAAAATTCAAGGTGAGTAATATATATACGATTCCCCGATACGCTGGGAAAAACCTACCGTGGGTGAATGTTCAGGGCTCGTTTTTGAAACAAGATAAAACTGCTATGGATCGTTATATTGTGATCATGGTATTTTCCGGAAAAACTATTTGCCTAGTGTAGCCTAGATGTAAGCTTGACGTACGTCGATCCGGACCTATTAAAACAAGCAATAATTCGTGGTTCGTGCAGTTTCCGCTTATTACATGTCCTACACAGAATCGATTGGGTTCATGAAGCTGTATATAAATGGGTGATTTTGTCAACGGTCTGTGGAAATATTTACATCTGAAACACTGTCATAAGAAACCTGTTCCCAGTCGCTGATAATTTACAGTGTTGACATCGTACTTCGGGTTAGACTTGAACTGATTTCGTGTTGTCACCAGTCACCAAAGTGATCTGCAAAAGATTACATTTTATTTGTAAAAGTGATGGTCCTCAAAAAGCACTTGTTCAGGGAAATGTGACGTGGACTTCTGTCATTTCAAAGACTGTACTTAGACGTTTGTCATCTATTCATAAAACCGTGCTTTTTATTTCAGTTAGAATAACTGTAATATTCATGGTTTTATTATTGTACTGATAAGATTTTGCATACAGTTTTGATTAATGTTTAATTCTCATTAATGACCCTAGTTAATATGCCAATGTAATTTTCATTTGGGAAACAAACCCATGAAGATCTGTGTTAGAATAGGTCTTCAGCAACCCATTCTTGCTGTAAATGGTCATTATGCCTGTTGTAGGAGGCAACTAACAGGATCAGGTGCTGACTTGGTTGATGCATGTCATCGTATTCCATTTGCGTGGATAGGTGGTCATGATATCAATCACTCGATTATTTATAGACCGCCGTTAAATGGCTGGGATTTTGCTGAGTGTGGTGCTAAACAACAAACCAACATTTGTAGTCAAGATGTTGTATGATCTTTTTACCCATTGGTTAATTAAGAAGTAAACGACGAGTGGGAGTTGTTTATCATACAATGTATGATAGCTAAGCAATAAATTGCAAAGAACAATGAAGAATGAATCATGGTTTTTGTTTCACAATAAAACATTGTTCTATCATGACATCATTTCTGGAGATTTGAATATGCACTCGAAACTTGATGATGTCAGTTATAGGACGATGTTATTTTTTAGAGGGAAGTGTCAAGTAAGTAGATGCAGCTGGGCTATGTAGATAAACGCATCAAACAAGGGAAAGATATGACAATCTGTATGAGGGGAAAAGGTACAAATGATCGACGAGAGGATTTTGAGAATAGGCGGGAAATACCAAACTTAACCCACTGTTTGTAAAATGGACTTGTCCGTTATTTCCAAGGTTGGATTCTATTCAGGGAGTCATCATTATATTATTTTGGGTAAATATTTTTAAAGATTGTACATTTTATCAACATCCTTGACAAGGCTGTACATAATGTTCATATCTCATATAAGAAATAAATGACTTGTGGTCGTTGTTTACCATACAACAAAACACTGCAATGAAAATAAACCACTCGGGGTGCAGCAGTGTTTTATTGTACGATAAAAAACGAACACAAGTCATTTATTTCTTAATTAACTAATGGGTAAAAGGATAATAAAACAACTGGACTACTGGGACTCGTATGTTTTCCAAATATTCTTTTTTTTTTTTTTTCCTCTTTAAGGATGTTCATTTAATGTACAAGCTTAAAAAAATACTTACCCATATTTAAATAAGGATGACTCCCTGGATACAATCTGTGTGTGTGTGTGTGTGTGTGTGTGTTTGTGTTTGTGTTTGTGTGTGTGTGTGTGAGAGTGAGTGAGTGAGTGAGTGAGAGAGAGAGAGAGAGAGAAGATTGGTACTTTCCGGATATTCTCTCAGTTTTCATGTTGATTATCTGTACCTTCTTCCCAGTAACGATTGTCATACCTCTCCCACTTTTGAATGTGACCGTTTGTCATTGCGTTCATCTGCGTTGCCCAGCTACATATATGGGCAACACGTCACTAGACACTTCTCTCTCGGAAATAATGTTTTCCCCTAGTTGCAAAGGTGGGTCATATATGTATTTATGGGTATATGTGGGTATTATACTATGATTGACTATAATGCTGATCTGTTGTTACCCCTGACCTTGTACATGCACTACTGTGTTTTCTGGATCAAAAAGGAAGGAAATATCCACAAGATATGAATTTCCTACTGCAGCATTCCCTAATATTGCATACAGCTGCATAGGACTATTATGTCTCACCACACACTGGAAACTTACGATTCCTGTGAAATAAATTGACAATAACATTTCCTTCTTGAATACTATCAGTTGGCTTTGTGCACTACCGATGCACCTCACATAACTTAAGGCCATAATGAAAACACTATGAAATTTGAAATAAAGTGGATTGTATAATCTGTTTGGGGGCAGACATGGTGTGAGAAGATTTTTGTTCGTTCATTTAGGGTTGTTTTTTTCTCAGCTCTCACAGGAATTATGATCAGCAAATTATTAAAGATAGGAATTTTCCACATACTCTTTGGGTTTAGCACAAAACCTCTGACTTGATTTACAGTTATGACATTACAATATTTAAGGAATGGTGCAATACAACTTATGTGTATTCAACATGTTCATAAACAAATGAAAAAAGGCCTAAATATTTAAAAAAGAAACCAGATTTCAATAATTGTGATGAAGAAATTGAAATTGTGAACTAATGTAGTATCTGCAGCAGTAGAAACTAACAATTTTACTCCACTCGTCCTTATAATAACATATAGCAAAACCCTAAGAATGGCAAATTTCTACAAGTCTTAATGATTCCTTAACTACTGGGCGATTTGGCAAGGACTATAGGACTAGTGTCATTTTCTACCACTGATCTGCAGCGTTAGAAACTAACAGTTTTCGTCCACTAGTTCTTATAATCATAACATGTAGTAAAACCCTTAAAAATGACAATTTTCTACTAGTCCTTATGATACCTTTACCATTGGACAGTTTGGCAAGGACTATAGGACTAGTGCCAATTTCTAACCCTGATCTGGGTACCCTCATTTATCAAAAACATTTTACATTGAGTATCACTTTCAATTCCCACTGCTTGAATGGAAACCTACCAGTCCAAATTTACTACTCAGGTACCCAACCCCCTATTACCCTACCCTACCTAGGTACCTGCTATAGGTCTCAAAAGTTAGGTGCAAAATTTCCGATTGGGAATTGTTTTACTAGAGCCTGGCAAAAACTATGTCGATACACATATAAAACGATCTTATTCTAACATCTTATAGTCAGAAAGAAAGCTTGCATAGTCAGAAAGAAATGCGAACATTAGAGCATTTTAGTGTAACCATAGTGAATTTTTTGTCATAGTACAATATATCACATGACTAACCATGGGTCATGGTAGTCGTGTGGGCACCCGGATCCAACACAGTACTCACCCGACCCGAGTATGCGTGTTACCCTTACCAGCCTTAAATCTTACGTAATCAAAACAACGATAGAATATGTGTAAATATTGTTTGTAACTAGTATTGGATCTAATCTCTGCAGCTATAAAGAAAAACAAAGGAAAAAAGATCATGTCAATACTTAACAAAAGTCAGATCTTAGTATATCTTCTATCTTATCTTATCTTATCTTATACATCCATCTTATCAAAGCAACGTGTCTGCAATGTTCCCATGCCATATGTTTCTCAAGAATTATCTGTTTGGCAATGAAGTACAGCAAGATGATTTGTTTTGAATACAGCTTCAGGTTATTCTATATTTGAGAACAAGTATTTATGATGGGAGCTCACTGATAAGTTTTGTGTGAACAAGTGTCACAGCTGCAGGAACCCAAACGTCTGGGACACATGGATCAGAACACGATATCATGGTGATCAGTGTTTAATCATGATGTCCCATAGCAGTGCAGTTTACAGTGTGTGAAATCGCTACCCAGCTGTTAGAAATCTGTGTGTTGACAGTAACATTGCTTTGTTGTTGTTTTACACCAGTAAGTTATATTGCAGCCATAATGATGTAAAACCATGATCCAAAAGTTTATAATTACTTTGTAGTGTCTTTATGCACTACACAAAGAAGACTTTAAAGCGTAACACATACCTCTAGGTCATACATGTTATAGTAATGTTTTGATTTTATAATTACTCATTTTAAAATATTACCATGAGCTCATAAGTGTCATTACTTTTTCCCTTTTTGTTTTTTTAGAAAGGTTGATGTTTATTGTAGTGTGTTAGCTCGATTTCATAACCACTCCAGCCTTTGTTCATAGTTGTACTACTGTAAATCGTGAAATTAATGCGAGTGTTCATGAATTATATGTAAAAAATGCAAGTGGTCTTTGTCTGTTTTAACTTCACATTTGTGTCTCCAATATGACTATCACCAATAAGACGGCCTCACTGCACACTTTGGATAGCAGAAATACCAACTTGAATATAAACACAAACCGAGTTTATTGAGCAGCAGTTGTAACAAGTATATATTAATTGGATTAATTTAAGGTTTGATTAAGGTAAGGATATGTATCATTTCACTGGGGATGGGATGGAGAGAGTCACATTGATATTGAGTCACATTTAGGTTAGGGGTCAGCAGTTGTTTTAATTTGGAGATGCATTAATTTCTAGATTTACTGTATATCAATAGTAACACTGGTCCAAGGCTTTAAAGCCCTGCTACCTGAGAAGATCCTGGTTTTGAATTGGTCTTCAGTAACCCATGATTGTCATAAGAGGTGACTAACGGGTTCGGGTGGTCAGACTCACTGACTTAGTGCATGTCATCGTATCCCAATTGCATAGATTGATGGTTATGATGTCAATCTCTGGATTGTCTGGTCCGAAGTCAATTCTTTCCAGACCTCCGTCTTAGCTGGAACAATAGTGCTGCATTATTTAAGAAACAAACAAACAATACTGCGTGTATAGTGACCTCCTCCTCTTAGGTAACTAACCTGAGGTCATGTAACACA